ATTTCGACTAGAATGGGGTACGTTAATCGTTTGCTTGGGACCAATAGGCTGGTCAAGTAGTGAGCGAATTTAAAATCGTTAGTTTTGTATTGATTGTTGGTAAATCTCCATACACTGTACCAAAACATCATCCTTTGTTGGAATGAAACCTCAGACCGACACAGCGAAATCAACAATCAATACGAAACCAACGATTTTAAATTGGCTCACTACTTGACTAGCCTATTGGTCCCAAGCAAATCGATTACATACCCCATTCTAGTCAAAATTCTAGTACTACACTATGTTTGTTTTGATTCGCTATGAAAGTATGACAGATAAAATGAGGGGTTAGTGGATTTTCCTATGTTTCGAGGGGTGAATCGATTAGATTGGGAAGATAGTACCAGAGCTGAGCCAAAAAGTTGAGCACGTTTCTTCAGGACCTATTAGTCTTAGAGTTGTTACCTGCTAGCTCAGGGATTGAAGGATATCAGGGTCGTTAAACTGCTTATAACTCTCATACACGTAAGGTCGTTGACATCAAGTAGGAACACGTGAAATGAAGGTACCCTTTCAAAGGTGTTGCTAGATTCAGACACAAATAAACCCACCAGGCTGTACCAAAGTGTGTGCTTAAAAAAACTAATACGAAGGCTTTCCAAATCAATTCGGGAACGGCGAGGCTTAATGTCTCCTTTGTGAGCCCAGAAAGAAGCGGAACAACAACAAGAAGTGGAAGTGCTATGACCTAAGGACGTGCTCTACCTAATAAAGCTATAGATGCAACTTTTCATTTTAACATTTATTTTGTGACGTCACATTGAAAAGGGTTACCTGCGGGCATACTGCTTCTGGTTGATGATGTAGTTGGTGATCTGGTTGTGTTACTGATGGTGGCGGTTGTCGACGGGTGGTGGAGCTGATGATGTTGTTTGCTGGCCGGTATTCATTGCGGATGGAAACTAGCTTCAGCGAGGCAATCGCCGAAAGGCCAACGAATACAATGAACTGGACAATCGGGTGGCTTTTTTTTTTTTTTTTTTTCTTCATTATAGAGATTTTTAGCCTGAGGCTAGTTCATCTCTTAAATCGGGTGGCGACGGCGGTGTGATAGACGTACTGCCAGCGACGATGGTGAACTGGGCAGCGGGATGTCAACGGCGGTGCGGTGGCCGTACTGCCAGCAACGATGGTGAACTAGGCAGCGGGATGGCGACGGCGGTGCGGTTGCCGTACTGCCAGCAACGATGGTGAACTAGGCAGCGGGATGGCGACGGCGGTGCGGTTGGTATTTGTGCTCCGCACAAAGGATGCCGGCATGAACAATGCTAGGACTGTCTGGAGGTTCCACCGAGATGACTGGTGGACGTTATCGGCGGTCTGCCGATGAGTATGATACGCCGTTTGCCACTCACGCCAGTCGTCCACGTACTTCTCCTTATCCTGCCAAATAATTCCAAACAGAAAGAAAAAAGGCCCACTTCCTGGACCTTTTTCCTTATGTTCCTTTACTCCTATTCGTAGGAATCTCCTTTCTCCTTCTACTTTTTTTAATAATTTACACAAAAGACTACCACTAGAACAATGAAAATTCCTTTGTTCCTTTGACCACCTGCTAGCACAATGGTCACGCCACTTTCACCGAAGTCGCAAAATAATCAATTTGACTTTCGCGCGCACTTCTCCTTTCGAGAGTTGAAACTAGATAGCCTTCTGCTTTTGGAATTTTATTTATTTTAACTGCTTTTCGGCACCACAGGGCCGATGAAATGCCGAAGTTTGACATTTCGGCCTGGTTGGTTCATTTTTCTTCCTCATGCGCCACCTGTGATTGAGCTAAACAACTTGGCGGGGAAGTATTTCGCCCGTTCGTTCAAACTCCTTGACACTTGCAACACACACATGGAGAATCGTGAGAGTGGAACAGGCTCTCTCACTTGCTAAGCCTACAAATGAGAGCCACTGTTCCAGGATGTTAGTTTATTTATTTTATTTCAGGTGGGACTGTTACAGGGAGGGAGGTTTTGGACTTGTGGAGGAGCCAACAAGTAAACATTGGAACCAACGGTTACAGAGTTACCTCTATGACGAAATCACTTCTTCGAATGATAGCTGCAAGCGGATGACGGTTGCTTGTAATAAGATGATGCTTGTCTCGAATACAGGGTGAAAATTGATACGAGAAGCGAACGGACCCAGCTGAAATGCGTAGTGATCTCTGCAGAATTTGATAAGTAGATGCCTACTGGATGCACTTCATGTGAGGCGTGCTGTGTTCAACATACGTGATTTCGTCCAACTTGACGCATTATTCAGAGGCAGACCATGACAAACCGGATGCCGCTGGTAATGAATCCATAGTTTTAAATAATATTGTCGAATCTTATGATCTTCCAAAAATTTCCTCTGAAACACATTCTACGGAAATTCTGGTTTATTGTCAGAATTTCAATCGCTTGAAGAGCGCATCAAAAATGAATGAAATTTATAAGAATATATTGTACTCTTATTTTTCGGTTATAATGGGAACTGAAACAAGTTGGAATGATTCCATTAAGAAATTGTTGGCAGTGATTATAATGTTTTCAGAGATGACCGCGATTTAGTTTTATCTCAGAGAATGTCAGGTGGTGGAGTTCTTATCGCAACCTCATCAAAATTTAATTCGGAAGTCATTGTGTCATCGAAATCTTAAGAATTTGAGCATGTGTGGGTGAAAACAAATATAGCTGGTGAAACTCATATCTTTGCCACAGTGTACTTTCCACCAGCTTATGCTCGTAAGACTTCTTATGAAATATTATACCAAATAGCCAAAGGAAATAATGTCTCAATTTCCTCCTGAACTTAAAACTCATATCTATGGCGATTTCAATCAACGGAATGCTGATTTCATTCCTGATTCAGAAAATGAGTGTATTCTGCTCCCAGTCGTTGGTGAAAATTAGACATTGCAGTTTCTTTTTGAGGAAATTACTCTCTTAGGCCTAAACCAAATAAATCATGTAAAAAATCAGCAGAACTGCTTCCTATATATTTTTTTTACTAATAAATACGCATGAAGATTTATTATTTTTTTTTTTTTTTCCTTTGGTTTGTTTTTTCCGTCGATCTTGTTTTCCGTGCTGAGCACCAATGCTACCGACGTGCCAGGAAGGCAGCTCCCACACCTGGACCCTACCTATCGACCCATCAACTCATGAACCGGGGACCAACGGCTTTACTTCCCATCCGAAGGAAGGCGTGGTCAGAGATGTTATGCCTCAGAACATCCCGGCGGCGCCGACTGGGATTGAACCCAGGCCTGCTGGAGTGAGAGGTAATCACGCTTACCACTACACCACCGGCGCCGTTCATGAAGATTTATGTGTAAGTGAATCTGTTTCTCCATTATCGAAAAATGAAGTGTTTCTATATTTGTGCACGAAAACCATCCCACCGACTGTGACTACGAAGACGTCTTTGATTACAAACAATGCTAATTATGACAATATTAAGTACAATTGTGCAGTAGACTTTTTTTTATAAAATTGTGTTGGAAATTAAACAAGAGGAAATTCCTTTTAGGAGAATACGACGTAGTTAAACTAAAATTAATTCGTGCAACTTTCCATCAAAAATGACTTTAGACGAAAAAGTAGGAAATAATTCAGAATATATATTTAATCTTTTAGAACATTTTTTCAAGAGACGTACTCCAATTTCTCGGATAATGATCGTGATTATGAATATTTTTCATGCTTTCCTGACTTTTCGAGTAATGTTGGTATTAGAAATATTTATGTTCAAGATATTTTGACATGTCTAAAAGATTTGGACGCCACTAAAGGCTCAGGATCAGATGAAATCTCACCAGCCTTTATGAAAAATTTAGCAATTGAGCTTACAACCCCTATTTAATATGTCACTTGACTCTGGTACATTCCCGCAGGAATGGAAAAAATCGTTTTTAATACCCATTATGGTAAAAAATCTAATATCCGAAATTATCGTGGGATTGCCATCTTCTCGTCCATGCCTAAACTATTCGAATCAATCATAAACAAAAATATGTTCAGCCAAATAAAACATAGAATAACAAATGCACAACACGGCTTTTTTAAAGGTCGCTCTACCACAACAAACCTCCTGGAATTTGTTGATTACTCATTAACTGCAATGGACAAGGCAAACCAAATAGAAGCTCTTTACACTGAATTTAGTAAAGCGTTCGATAGACTTGACATTCCAATGTTGATTTTTAAATTAGAAAAAAAAAATTGAAATTGAGATGAAACTCCTCACCTGGATTAAGCCATATTTAACGGACCGTCAGCAAATTGTAAGATTCAGCGAGAAACAATCTAACCCAATTTAAGTCACGTCAGGAGTTCCACAGGGCTCGCACTTGGGACCTCTTCTTTTCATTTTGTACGTTAACGATATCTCTCTTATTTTGAAAAATCTCAGAGTGCTTATTTATGCTGATGACATGAAACTATTTTTAGAGATAAGAAATGATGATAATATGAATACGTTTCAGAATGAAGTTCGTGTTTTTTTTAACGTGGTGTTGTAGAAGTTTGCTGGAACTAAATGTTAAAAAATTTAATCGTATAACTTTCAGTAGAAAACTAATAAAACCAGATATTCGTATTACATTAGGTAATCAAATTGTTCAAAGTTGTGATAAAATAAGTGATTTAGGAGTTATTCTTGATTCTAAAACAACATTTGTGGATCATTATAACACAATAATTCATAGATCAGGCAATATGCATAATTTTATAAAGCGTTTTGGTTTCCACTTTAAATCGTACCGTTACGAAATCGTTGGTCGCGCTGAACAGGCGTAAACTAAGTTCATGGATTTGGGATTTATTCCAAGAAAATGTGATTCACTCAAATGAAGTAGCAGCTCAGGTTATGGTGTCACTTTTTTAATTAAATTTGATAACCAATCCACTAAAATTGCCATTTAATATCAGTGCTACCAGCCCTGTTACTGAAAATCATGGAAAATCCAAATCTTTTGCAAGTTTTAAATGTCATCAAAATACTTTATTCATCTTCTTCAAGTACATGCAAACGTCAAATTAATCCTACAGCAATAAATCTACCGAACTATTGCGTTAATCTGTCGATTCTTAAGCACACGGATATCTACCTAAAATCTAATAAAAAAAACTTTAGCATCGCATTCATTTCTATCAGCTCCAAATACAGAACTCTAAGACCTACTACTGGACCACCTACAGTGCTATCCTAAGTAACTTCAATTCGCCGGAGGAGATTGGTTGAAATCGTCCACCTCTTCGGAAGAAATCTTATGCGGCCCGGGCCCTTTCACCCGCTCCTGGACCTCCATGAAGCTACTCTTTATTTCATCTAGCGCTTGACCAAGACCACGCTTGATCAGATTGAACTCCTGAGTCACCAACGATAGACGACCCAGCAGATAGTTCAGATTCGAATCTACCTCGGACATGCGACCGGTAATCAGCGATACCTAAATTGGAAACAGTTATCAATCATGGTGCTTCAAACTCCTACAAGTCATCATGTTACCTTTCCTTCCATGCTATCCATGGTCATCAGCGTTCCATTCACGTATGCTTCAGTCTGCTGCTGTAGACGATCCAGAGATTGTTTGCTCGAAGAAATTTCCTGATACATAATACCGATCTGTCTCCAAACCTGGCTGATTTCGGTTTCAATCTTTGAGCTAAGATTGCTCAACGCTCCATTGTGATTGTCCAGAATCGTGGCTCCGATTTCATCGAACCGCTTGGTGACAGTCAAGTTCAACTCCTTTGAATTGGCCTTCACGACTTCCGTCACCTCCCGCAGAATCTGATGTATGCCGTAATCAATGCCACGCTTTGCATCCAAAACATTTTCACCTGTCTGCAGCAGGAACTTCTCCAGTCTGCTCAACGCCGCTATTTCGTCCTTCAGCGAGCCAATGTCCTTCTTGGTGCCGGAGAAGAATGCTTCGGTGTCGACAATTTCCTCCGACAATGTCTTCAAAATTTCATTCACCGAAGACTGCAGCACTTCGTTGTTCTCCTTGATACGGGTCGCCGTCTTCGAGAAGCTCTTATCGGATGCCGTCAGCACCTCAAGGCGCATATCTTCGATCGCCTCCAGTGTTTCATTGATCAATCCATGAACGAACTCCTTATCGACGGTTGACCCTGCGTTGGCGATTGGAGCCGATAGGGATGAATGGCTGTCCTTCACGTTGGCATCGATGGCGTCCAGCTTCTTGATGACCTTCTCTTCGAAGTCATCGTTCGAGTGGGAGATAACCACCGGGCTGTTATAGTAGGAGGACAGCCGTTCCTCGATCTTGCCGATAATGTCGTCCGATGAACCCAGTTTGGCCGTGACCAGTTTCTCCGCTTGCTCCAACAGGTTACGGTTGGTTTGCTGAAAAGATGACGTGAACAAATGTTCATCAGAAATTTACTCTCCACAAACTAGGTTAGCTTAGCATAATCGTGAATAATAGCTACCGTCAAGTGGGATATTTTGCAATACTTTTCATCTTCAAAGCTTTTCAACGTAAAATAATACAACTTACTTGTACCACAGACAAACAGACATAACACATTGAAGATTTTTCTCTATAAAACATTGCCGCTAAAACACTACCGCCATCTGTTGATTATGTTGTGGGAAGTACGATGAACAGATGACGGTAGTGTGTAAACGTCAAACGCAAGATAATTGACTATGCGCACCACAGGTGGCGCCAACCATTTAAATTGACCGTTAAATGCGTGATCGATGAAAAACTTGCGAGAGTTATGTCTGTGTGTCTGTGCTTGTACGCTATTGGCAGTACAGTAACCCCTCCATATATGCGGTAGGTGGTACCATCCACCCACCGCTTTTTCTGGTCTGTCCTTCAAACAATTACGCTAATTTGTTGAATGTGAGTCGTGTCGACCATAAATTAGTTATCTACAGAAATCCGCTCAATTGTTCCAAGGACAGCCGAGAAATAGTGGTGAATGGACGGTACCACCCACCGCATATATGAAGGCGTTACTGTATGCAGAATACAACATGGTACTAACTTTATCGAAACTTGGTTTCTCTTACTCAGGATTGACCAAAAACATACTTGTTACAAGTTTCTTTACATGAGAGGTAATTTGCAACATACTCTCCGGTTTAAAGTTTTCTGCCAATCGCTTCATCTACACTAATCAGTTGTTTTATAACCTGGTCATATAATGAGTAACTAATGTGCCCCTTACATCAACAAATTGTGTAAGCATTAAAAGGGAAGAGGTTTGAGATTTTTTTATGTGTTATACAAATTTCAGGAGGTAATTTCATACTAACAAAATCTTACACTGGGGCGATGGAGGTGTTGGAAATGTCCACAAACCGTTAAATAATTTGTGCATAGCCCCTAAAAATAAATATTTTTTTTCTTGCGAAGGTTCAAATGGTCAAAATATAGTAATGGTTCAATAAAAAGGGGCCTCCCTTAGCTCAGTCGGTAAAGGCGCCAAAGCAAGACTATGCTGGAATTTTTCGGGTTAGAAATTTTCTTCACTTTCCTGGGCATAGAGTATGATTGTACTTGCCACACAATTATACTAATGCAGAAATGGTACAGGCATCGCAAGCTCACAATTAATAACTGTGGAAGTGCATCTAGAACACTAAGTTGAGAGCACGCAATAAGCTAATATGCAATAAGCAATAATTTTGAAATGCGTCAAATTTAAACAGCACTTTTCAGTGCTCAACCTGTAAAATTTCTACCTTGTCAGACTCTCCTCTTCGATCCTTGTTTGGACCCTACCCGAGGTAATCCTGCTTGGCCATCGATTTGTAAAATTCCTCTTCGAACCTTCAGATTCTTATAGTTATCTGCTTGGAAGTCGATTTGGAGAAACTTGGTTCTGCCGCCATGGCGCCTAAGCGCAAAAGAAAAGGACAATCGCTTGATTCGCCTTCTGATTAAATTCAATTGAGCAATCAATTTGATATGCTTACTGATGTTGAGAATGATCCAGCATCCAGGCGAAATTCTATTAAACATTCTAGGCATAATGCCAAAAAGGAAAAGGTCCCCCTATTGTTGTAATCACTTCCGATTTCCATGGTTTTTTCAAGGAACTTTTGAATTTCGTTCAATTTAAGTTTTCACTTCAAATTGGACGTCGGGGTGAATTCCGTGTATTGGCTGAAACCTTGGATGGATTAAAACGTCTTCTCAAGTATCTTACTGAAAAGCAACACACATTTTTTTACTTATGACACCAAAACTGAACGTCTGTTCGAGGTTGTCTTGAAAGGTCTGCCCAGTGATGAATCTCTGGATCAGATCTAAGATGAATTTACTAAATTACTGTCCAAGTATTTAAAATGAAAATGTAATCTCGTCCTGGCGATTCACGCAACAGGATTTCCAATGATTTTTATTTAGTTCACTTCAAGTCTAGTGAACTAAACAACAATGTAATAATTACATAAATTACATTAACTGAAAAATAATAACAAGTTTTGCCCACTCTAGTTAGTCATGTATAAGAGATACAGATTTAAGCTAATCACAAAAGTTTTAGCTATTATTAAGATCTACAAAATACTTCATTTCACAGAATTCTGTTGATGGAAAAAGTTTGACGCAAATGAATGTAAATGAATGTAAATGATTTGCCATGCCTGCCTGCTTCAAATTCTTCATCTAACTACTAACAAAGTTCAGTAAGTAAATGGAGCTACCTATGCTGCAATTGCAGCCGTTAGAAATCAAAATTCTAACCAACATAATTCTAACGGAAATTTTGATAATTTTGACTTAGGAAGCATTACCAACGGGTGGAAACTAACGATTTTCAATTGGCTCACTACTTGACTAGCCTATTGGTCCCAAGTACATCTATAAGCGTACCCCATTCTAGCCAAAATTCTAGTACACTGTACACAAACATCATCCTCTGATCGAATGAAACCTCAGACCATTCAAAACAAAACACCGAATTCGCTTTTTCGAATGATAGCTGCAACCGGATGACGGTTGTTTTGAAATCAGATGATTTTCCTCTCGAATACAGGATGAAACTTGTTATGAGAAGAGAAAGGGCCTTCAGTTGAAATGCGTAATGCTCTCTGCAGAATGACTGTCATACTAAATGGAAATGCATATGGTATTGGTTCAGCCCCATAACGCAAATCATTCAAAACGATGATGTAACTAATTCTTTCGAACGTCATTTGCTGATCTGAGCTGACAAACGAGGTGGAAGCATGTGCATCGCTATCAGAGCTGTTACGAACATAGATAAAGGATGAAAACCAATGTTTAGCTAATTCGTGGTGAAGGAGGTTTTCTCCACCACGAAAATTTTTTGTTTCCATAATGGAATGGCTTATTATGGCTATTCAGGATGGAATTGTAGATAATCAAATTATAAATCTAATTAAAAGCACATGCATGTCACACTTTTCTTAAATGTTTGTCCTCTGAGCGCCGTATGTTTTATAGCTAATTTTCAAATGAAAATCATCCTGTATTTGGATGACAGTCATATGGATGTTCATCATCTGACGACGAATTCAACCATAAGAAAATCATCCGAAATTCAAATGCATATTGTTAAAGGGCTCGAGCAATGCAATAATCATTCGAAGTATTGCGGATGTTTTGGTTCAGTGTACTACACTATGTTTGTTTTGATGCGCTGTGAAAGTATGACAGATAAAATGAGGGGTTCGTGGATTTTCCTATGTTTCGAGGGGTGCATCGATTTACTTGGGACCGAAGATAGTACCAGAGCTGAGCCAAAAAGTTGAGCACATTTCCTCGGGATCTTCTGGTCTTAGAGTTACCTCTATGGCATTACTGCTCCTAAAATGGAATTTTTATAGAAATCATTAACTAACATGATTACTGATATGCTTAAAACTAACTCCATGTTTGATGCTATTCAAACTGGAGTAAAATTTGCGAACAATGTCGTTATGACTTTGAAATTTAGTCATGGATTTTAAATCATAAAATATTTTGAATTGGAATGCTCGATCTCTTAAATATAATGAGGACGAGCTATTTAACTTTTTGAGAGCGAGTTTGAGAGTTCATAACGTGCATATCACCGTTATAACTGAAAGATTCCTTAAACCTGACCATCAGGTTAAAAGGAATGTAAATTATTTCATTTATCGAAATGATCGTCTTGATGGAGCTTGTGGTGGCGTTGCCATCATTGTTCATAGACGTATCAAACATCAAATTCTTTCTTCATTTGAAACCAAAGTTTTTGAAACTTTGGGAGCTTCTGTCACCTTACATTTATAGCTGCCTATTGGCCATTCCAATGCGTAGGCCAGCAAAAGAATTTTCTCAAGGGTGACCTTCAGAAACTTACCCGTCATAGGTCTAAATTCTTCATTATTGGTGATTTCAATGCAAAACACCGCTCATGGAATAATGCTCAAAGAAATTCTAATGGTAATATTCTGTTTGATGATTTTTCTGCAGGCTATTAAACTATTCTATAGCCCAACATGCTTTTCTTCAGCAAGAAATCCCTCAACTATTGATTTGGTCTTAACTGATTCATGTCAACTTTGTAGCCAATTGGTTACCCATGCTGACTTCGGTTCTGATCACCTTCCAGTAACTTTTGAAATATCCCAAGAAATAATTTCTAATTCCAACAGCTCTACTTTCAATTATCATAGAGGTGATTGGGAGCAATATCAATCATTTATGGAATATAGCTTTGATATAAAACATTCCTTTGCAAACCAAGGATTGAACTAATCATGCTCTTGAATTTCTAACTGCTTAGCTGAAACAAGAGCTGCCTCAGTACCAAAATGAAAGGTTAAATTCGATTTAATTATAATAGAAGACGATCTTCAGCTCTTGATACGGCTGAAAAATGTCCGTAGGAGGCAATATCAAAGAACACGTGATTCTGCTATGAAAGTTATCTGGCGGGATTTGTAAAAACTAATTAAAACTTTTGAAAATAATGTTTCTAAATTAGACCCGAGTTCCAAACCCTTTGGAATCCAACACAATTTTGAAAAAAACCTCAAAAGCCTATTCCAGCGCTTAAAGAAGGTGGTAACATTTTGGTCAAACAAATAGCTTTCAAACCATTTATATGCAGTACAAATACTCAGAGAGAGAATGTTTTCAGCCAAATAAACTGTTAAAATCTGAACCAATCGAAAATTCCCATAAGAAGTTTACCGAGGATTTCTTATTCTTACTACATTAAATTTGAAAGTAATGCAATCGAACAGAAATTCTATCGCCTTTATGTTTCGTGTTCTTCTCAAATTCAACTAGTTTTGGAATCAAAAATAATATTCTAACTCTATTGATTAATTGATCTTAGTTGGTTAATTAATGGCAACCAGAAATGTGCAAAATATTGCGATGCACTCAATTATTATTTTGCACCCCAACAAACATTGAATGTTGAATAAGAGCTTATTCAGCCAAAAATAAGCATGATCAGCTAAAAAATGGCTTATGCAGCTGTTGATCAACTCAAATTGTTTGTTGGGACGTAAATCGAATCAAAAGAAATACTAGCTTCTAGCAAGGGTTGCAACATAACTCAAGTAACATTGCTAGCTTTATAGAGGTTTTATAGCATTCTACTAGTCCAAATCATGGTCTACAGAACCCTTATAAAACCAAAATCGTTTCTTGGCAAGTTAGGTTACAAATCCCTGCCGCCGAATTGTATTTTGTTTTCTCCGCTCATCTCTCCCTCTAAGTATTTCTAATATGCAGTACTCGTAATTTTTAATACGAGAAGCCGAGCAGACAATTGATTTAAATTTTTAATTATTATTTAATAGGGGAAATGGATGTAATGTCGGCCTAAATGCCCCTAATTCGGGCCCATACATAAATTCAGCAATCGACTAAATTTTCAATAGCGCCCAAAAATATTCATTAGTACCGTCCCAATGACGCGTTCATCTAGATAAATTTGATAAATAGCAGATTTTTAGCGATAGGCCCAATCTTAGATCCATAGGCCATAGGCCATGTTGGGTGTTTCTAGCATTGATGGACGCATAGCCGTTAGTACTTTTGTAATTAATTATATCTTTTCCCAAAATATAATAAATTAATATAAAAAGATGAAATACCGCACTAGACTGTAATCTCAAAAAGCGCTCCGTTGTAGCGAAGCTTAATTTCGGCGTTCAAATCACTAGAGCTGCGAAATAATTGTCCAATAAGTTGACCGATGTCGAACTTGCTGTATTAGATACCAAATCAATTGAACGCTGATTACCAGATCGGGGTGAGTTGAATCAACCAGGGTTGCTTCCACTCATTTCGCTTTACAAATTAGATGTTATATATAACCCCGGGAAAATCACAATGGCATCACACACGGATGTTCTAATGATATTTTGTGCTTGTAAGTTACAAGATGACGCTGTAATTCCTGAGTGCTCACTCTAAGTGAACGCTCACCAATCGAAACATTGCTCGCTGAAATCGAGATTGACAGGTTTTATGTGTCAAACACATAGGAACCTCTTCTTATAACTTACAAGTACAAGTACAGTATCATTAAAATATCTAATGATTTCATGATTCCGAAAACATTTCTCATGGCGAAGTTTGTGGAAGCAACCGTGGAATCCACTAGCTTGAACCGTGCATTTGCGCCTTAAGAGAGATCCAACCATTTAGTGCTTTATTTATTAACTGATGGATGGCAGGCTAATAAATGAACGCAAAGTAATTGAAAACCAACATGTGCACATAGTGACGCCCTTCAACGAGAATGGTTCATGATAGAACAAACCTAGTGGCACAATTGAGCTACTATTGGATCATTCGAAAGAGACGAATGGACAGTTTAATGTTAGGTATGTGCAGAAACTATTAGCGAATTCGTTTATTATCGGGGTTAACACCAGTTCCAACCCAGTGCGAAACCGAACTTTTTGCCAGTGTGAACCTCAACCTGAGCTAGGTTTTAAAAACAAACCAGCAAACTGACGTTTGTCAGAAAACAAGCAGACCCAATTTTGATACCCGATCCAGGTTGGAACTGAATAATAAACGAATTCGCTATATGTAAACCTTTGTGTCCGTGCCGAGCCATTCTCCAGTTGCCATTTGACTACAATTCCACTATTATTACATTGTGACACATTACCACCCATAAAAATACCAACCTCAATGGAATCTCTGTCTAATTTCAGCTCGGCCATCTCCCGGCGCAATTCTCTAATACTTTCGGTAAGCTCTTCCATCTTTCCTCCGAGTCCCTCCGAGTCCTCATCTGGCCGCGATTCCGGATTAGCTCTAGCTTCCAGCGCGTGTGCATTGTCATTCAACCAGCGCAGAACACCCTCGAGAGTTTCGCTCAGCTTTATCTGCTGCATCGTGTTCTTTTCATCTTGCTGCAATGAAAGTACATTAGAAGCAGTCTAAGTAGCAGGAACCCGCCCATCAATATTAACTAGCACTCCAACGATGAGATTATCTTAAGAGCGCTAGCAAGCGCGCATACTTACGTTGAGGAGTGCCGTCTCGATGCTACCGACACGTTCCTCCAGTCTCGTGATGGTCCCCTTGAGTGGTTCAAATATCCGCTGGTTCTTTTGCAGCGTTATCAGTCCCTTCTTAACCTGCTCGCCCAGTGACCGCTCCCGTTGTTCGTGGCGTTCCAGCTTGTTGTCCAGGAGATTGTACGAGTGCACCAGCGACAGGATGGCATCGCGGATTTCCTGATTGCTAGTGAAAAAGGGGGAAATCGATGGGTCAGGTTAAATTTGTATTTTTTTTTAAGTTGCTACACAATTTCATAACATGAGGATTAAAAAAAATAATAAGCCATTTGAATGGTATAGAATATTACTATCATTACGAAATTAAATATTGGATATATTAATGATGAATCATCAGAATTTCATTTAACTTGTTACTTACACATTTCTTTTCTTGTTACTTACACATACAAAATATCATCATAATATCGTATTATTTCATAATTTCATAAAAGACAGGGTGTAAATTACATCCCAAGCAAAAAGAAAAAGCAATACTCCGAATGTATTGACAAAAAACCGAGGGGGGCGACACATCTAAATCTCAAGTTTAGATGCTCAACAAATCTCACACTAGCGAATCAATCTTCGAAAAATCTTCTTTCATTTGTCGCATCTACTTGCATCGCGCATCATCTTCTTTCTATCTACTCAGCGTGCGCGCAGCTAGCCACAGCAAAACACAATCTTTTCTACATCGTAGATAGAGTCGTCCCCCTTGCAAAAAACCGCCAATTTCGCCATCAATAACATCGATACACGAATATTGACAACATTAATGGCAATACGTTAGAAGCCTTTTTACCTCAATGTATTAAAGACAATATTACTTTTCTCAATTTCCCCACACAAGAAACATGAATCAACAAAAGAAAGTGTGTTTAGAGTTCATGTTTGCATTCGGGTCCAAACAAAAACGATTGCTGGACCTGTATGTATTGAAAATACTAACTACACACTGAATTCGGATCACCGAAGTCGGTAAATTTTGCCGGGTTTTTGAACAGCTGAAAAAATTGGAAAAAATTGAAATGACCGTTACTCGAAGGAAATCAATCAAATCGACAAAATTGTTTTGTATCATTAAATGGGGTTAACTATGTCCGTACATTTTCGGAATGAATTTCCAAATTTTTCCATTTTTCACTGATTTGTAAACTTTTAACGAACAGTTTCGTAGTTCAAAAATAACCAAACAGCGGAGTCCTGGTTTAATGGATATAGGTATATATAGAAACCAATTTTCACCCAACATTTACTTGCACATTTTAAATTAATTTTCAGAATTTTTTTGAATAAATAGTGTTAAATAATGATCTATTCCAGGCCTACTCTTAAGTTTTCAGAATGATGTAAGAAAATCCTCTTATACTTTCTGGCAAATTACTATTGATGTAGATAATGTAGGTAATATGTCATATAAACTGTATTAATGGACACATATATAGTTTATTAATTAAGGGGGGAGTACACTTTGATTTTTCAAAAAAAAAAATGCATTTTTTTTTAGGCTTACAATGTTCCTTGGGATGTATACTTTAATTTAGAAAAGACTCCAAGTCCGCCAGAATATTCCTTACCGCTTTACGAAGCGATTTCCTAAAACATGTACCGGCGCGCTGAGAGAGCATTTTTATCTTTAAACGCGTTTATCTCGAAACGGGGTTTTTCAAACTGGCGTGGAAAATAACTCTAACCATAACTCTAATCATCAAATTTGAATATCGCCCTTGTTCAGAATTAAATTTTGCTTAGAAATACGTATCCACATTTTCGATTTTGTCAAAAATGGATTTTTAATCCACGATTTTGTAAGCATTTTTAAGGTGAAAAAATGGACTTTTTTTTCCTAAGGCCACAACTTTTGAAAAAATCAATTTAAAAAAAATCGGAATACGTATTTCTAACCCAAATTTCATTACTAATCAGGATTTTTGTTCGATTTATGTTCCAGGATCACATGGAAAGAAGTATTTTCCCACGCCGTTTTCCGACTTCCGCGCGAGGACGCCCGCGCAACCTGGTGCACGGGGAGACGCCAATCGAGTTAAAAAAAAATACAAATTGTAGTTCGAAGGATGACTAATAAATGGGTTATAACATATTTGCCCTTCCTGAGTGTTTTATTGCTTAAAAAATTAACGAAAATGCCTTACTTTTTGGACGTTCAAAGTGTACTACCCCCTTAACATAGGATGTACCGTGAACGTGGGTTATTCTGCGTGAGCTGTAATTCCGCGGACTTGTCATTCAAATACCAAATTGGTATACAAAATGTTGTAATTTTTCGACAGGACACAGAAAATACACAGGACTACAGATAACATGACATGAACTTCCAAATTGATCGAATTTAATCAAATCGATTGTCAAGTGCATGGAATTACAATACGTGTGAAATAACCCACATTCACGGTACGCAGTTTCCCAAATAGAAACTATCATGCTGATGTTTTGGTAAACATTCATAAATGAAAATCATGCATAGGAGAAATGTATGTAATGTCAGCCTAAATGCGCCTAATGTGGGCCCATACATTAATTCAGCAATGGACTAAATTTTCAATAGCGACCAAACATATCCATTAGTCCGTCCCAATGACGCATTCATCGATAGATAAAATTGATAAATAGCAGATTTATAGCGATGGGCCCAATCTTAGATCCATAGGCCAACATTAGAGCCGCTTCCTCAATATTAATTAATGTAACGTAAGTATGATAAACGCTGATAGTATTTATTTTATTTTAAAGTAAAAAAAAAAAACATGATTATGCTTGTGATTTTGTAGAAAATGTACATACATATAAACTAAGCCTGGGTGATTGGTCACTGTAAAATGATATTTTTTATTTAGTTTGTAATTGATTTTACATCACACACGAACATTAAAACAAATGGCAACACTGCATGCCTAAATGACGTACGTTCTCCCTCCTCTTGGGTAGGGGAAGAATATTGACAAAGTGGAAATTTTTCAACAATACTCGTCATCAATATTACCTTTTCAATAATATTGTCAATATTTCAATTTGCTGTCAATATATTGACCAGTGTAACGAGCACTTTTTGTGTTATCAGTAACCCAAGTAACACTTGCAACATCTTGCATGAAAAATAGAAAAAAATCCAGTTGTAAATAAGTTATATATTAATTGCTTCTAAAACACCCTGTTTTAGACGCGTTGTATTGTTGTTTGTGAAGTATTCAACCTTTCAGACAAGCACTTGTTATCTTGAAGCTATAATTCGGTATTTCATGTCTCAATTACCAGTTTATAACACATTTATAACTGATTGTATTTGGTGAAAACTGGCTAGCCTTATATACAACATGTTTTCATATGTCATTATTAGAAACATGGATACATCTGAGATATAACTTATTTATAACATGTTATTAATAAGTTATAATTCAGTTGTACTCATGTTTCCAAAAATGACATATGAAAACATGTTGTATATAAGGCTAGCAAGTTTTCATCAAAAACAATCAGTTAAAAAAAATGTTATAAATAGGCAATTGAGAGTTGCCATACCTAATTATAACTTCAATATACGATACAAGTAATGTTCTTGTTTGTCGTGTTATAAACATGTTTTGATAACAATTATGAAATTTCTCAATGCATTCTACAAACTGCACTACAATATGGCTGAACAATGAAGCAATGTATAGAATGAAAAAAACATTTAATTTGTGTTTTCAACATCACATGTACGTTTTGTAACAGAGAAAAGTAAGATAATTAAAAAAGAAAGTTGATATTCTATTTTTTTTTTGTTTTTTGCAAAGTTGCGGAATTTTATCCAGGATTTTTTATGCAATTCAATTTATAATATTAAGCTTTTTCTAAGAGCCAATGAGTTTTTTAGAAGTAGAATGTGTAGATTTACCATAAATTCGTAACCGCATAAATGTTTGCAGTACGAATTCTAAGTTTAGGCACTTTATTCGCACGATAAAACTCCTCAGAAGAATAAGTTGTGTAAATTGATGATAAACAAATTCCATTTGTAGGATGAATGAAATTAGTTTACAACATGTCCAATACAGTAGGTGCGTTATAGTCATAAATAAGTTACACAAGTCAAGCATATGTTATATATAGATCCCGCCTCTTGCGCTTTTTTCGGTATAAATAAGTTGTATATAAGTGACTAGACGTAAATGTTTACCGCTGATATTGTCATAAATAAGTTATGTAAACCCGTTTATGACAAATTGTGTTGCTTAGGAATGTTGTCAATATTTATGTATTGATAATATTGTAAGGAAAATTGACAATACGATGTTTGTCGATATATTGACATGTGTAATGGGCGCTTAAAGGTGGTTGTAATTTGACTGGGAATATTTCTTCGATTACAACAATGTTAGTGAGGAGCGACGCTGTTTTGATGACCCCCCGAAAGAATTGTTGAAATTATTGACATGAACATATTGATGGAAATGTTGACTAAACATTTTCCCTACACGAAAGTTGCAGCCCCACGGAAAGTTGAAGCAACCTAGCGCAAAAGCAAAAAAATATGTACAGAAACATACCTAATGATTTTCTATACACGGAAAACAAAAGCAAATCATTAATGATTAATCTTTAATCATTTTCAAACAAATGTCGGTTACTTGTACATCTATAAATTTTAATCATTCTTGTATGGTTTGGTTGAAAATAATGCAAACATTGTTCAAAACCATTAAAAAAATATTAAAATTGACACGATGTACAAATAATCGATTTTTTTTTCAGAAAATGAATAAATATGAATCATTAATGATTGATTTTCGTTTTCCGTGTGGATATGGCCAAACGAGTGGGGAAACTACACGCGAAAACTTGTTCGTTCCTTTCAACTCCAAATTTCCACTGCTACATTTTTTCAATTTTTTTTTTCTATGGAAAATTTACGTAACATTTTATTCATTGACCTTTGAACTGATTTTTTGAACCAATCGCATCAATCTTTGTTTTCATTTGGTTTCGTAGATTAGGTGTATACATTTTTAATGGACCACTTTGTCAAGCACTTTCGGCGTAACTTTCTACCAGCAATTTATCAAAACTGGACCAACAAATTAATATTTTTTAATGAAACGCTCAAATCTTGGCTATTTTTCTCGTGGATGTAGAAGAAAAAATCTCAAAATATTGTGTTATTTCTAAGTTCGAGTGGTTGTAAATTTTCATTTTAACTGCTCGAATGAAGTGATTAATTCCAGAGAGAAGCAGCAAATTGTTGCCACAAGTGTTCCGGGTAATATTGATAAATGATAATGACGTTTTGCTACCTGTCAAATTGTATGGAGTATTTTTGATTACATCATCAGTTTTGTACCTTTGCTTAAATTCATCAATAGAAGTACCGTAAAACGGGGCATCTTTGATAATGCGGGTAACTTTGATAGTATAATGTAAAGATTAAAGTTTCTCGCTGCGCTTTTTCTAAATTAGAAACATTGGTTCCATATTGTAGCTCAGGGTATTTCCGTTGATATCAGTAAAAACCAAATTAAAATATGACAATTTTCCTTCAATAATGCATCTTGACGAAAATGTCGGTGATAGCTCGGAAAAAAACTGCAATCTATATGCAAATTTTTTTTCAAGAAATCTATACGACATTTTCTGAAGAAAATCGCGACCGCGATTATTTTGCATTTTTTCCAGAATTTTCAAGGGACATTGGCCGCAATCAACTTCAAGTGCAGGATATTTTGTAGGCTTTAAAAAATTTAGACGCCTCAAAAGGTCCTGGACCTAATGGAATTCCTTCAGTATTTATTAAATGTCTAGCAATGGAACTCCCTGCTCCATTGTTCTGGATTTTTAATATGTCCCTGGAATCTGGAACCTTCCCAAAAACTTGGAAAAGCTCATTCCTAGTGCCTATCTTTAAATTTGGCCGAAAATCTGACGTACTTAATTATCGTGGTATAGCCATTATCTCTTGCATTCCTAAACTTTTCGAGGCAATTGTCAACGAAAAATTATTTCTCCAAATCAAAAATAGAATTACTGACATGCAACACGGCTTTTTCAAGGGTTGCTCGACCTCGACAAATTTACTTGAATTTATTGACTATTCATTGAATGCAATGGATAATGGAAACCACGTAGAAGCTCTCTATACAGACTTTAGCAAGGCATTTGACCGCATAGACATATCAATGCTACTTTTTAAATTGCAAAAAACTGGAATTGAGTCAGGGCTCCTAAAATGGCTTGAATCATATTTAACTAACCGCCAACAAATAATTAAATTCAACGGAAAGAAATCGAGTTCAATTCAAGTCACTTCAGGCGTCCCCCAAGGCTCTCATTTGGGACCTCTTCTTTTTATTCTATACGTAAACTACATTTCTTTCATTTTCAAAAAAACTTAAATTGCTTATTTATGCCGACGACGTGAAGCTCTCTTTGGAAATAAGAAATGAAGAAGACATCAATATATTCCGGAATGAAATACACATATTCTACATATGGTGCCAAAAAAAAAGTCTACTGGAATTGAATGTAAAAAAATGCAACTTAATATCATTTAGCAGGAAAAGAACAACTTCAAATATTTCAATTGCACTAGGAAATCAAAATGTAGAAAAATGTGAAAGAGTTAGGGATTTAGGAATTATCTTAGACTTTAAACTAACTTTCATAGACCATTACAACACAATTATTCACAGAGCAAATAACATGCTAGGCTTTATCAAGCGCTTTTGCTATAACTTTCAGGACCCATACACAATTAAAACACTATATATTGCCTATGTGAGGTCAATACTGGAATATTGCAGCATTGTATGGTCTCCTTTTTCAATCACGCACGAAGAAAGATTAGAATCCGTACAAAAACAATTTCTATTATACGCTCTTCGTAAATTAGGTTGGACATCATTTCTTCTTCCATCATATGAAGCACGCATGAAGCATAAACATACAAACATTAAAAGAGTGCCGTGAATATGCAATGGTTTCATATGTAAACGATATCGTTTCGCAGCACATTGACTCCCCATAATTTTTATCAAAATTAAATTTCCATGCACCTACTCGGCAACTCCGAAATCGAAATTTATTTGCCATAAAACATCATCGCACAAATTATGCAAAATATGGGCCATTAAACCGCATGATGGCCTCTTACAATCAATACTGCGAAACCATTGACTTTACAATGTCTCGGCATAAACTAAAACAATATTTTTACTCCATAAGGCTTTATAACTCATAAAAAAATAGGAAAGCTGACATTGCTTAATTTTTATTAAAGACCAAAATTATACTTTTGTCCAAAGTTGACGAAATGAATAAATAAATTTAAGAAATCAAAACTGTATTCGAATATGTACTTGTCTACGTTGGTTGACGAAATAAATAAATAATGAAATGTATTTCCGATATAGCCATCACAAATTCAATGTTGTATTCTTATTGCTTATGCTGTTTTCTGATTATTCAAAGTTTCATAATCAAAGAACTAAATTGTTTGAGTTTCACCCATTTTTTTTTACTACATTCATTGAACAAAGTAACCCCAAATCAAAAAAACTGAAGTTCGTTCACAAAACTAAAAAAACAGTGGAAATGGTTTAATTTGCATTTAACATATTACTAACGAATTGACTCTTGGATCCTCAGTATTTGGTTTAAAAATATAAAATTTGATAAACATTCATTGATGTAAAAAATATTTTGAATAAACTTTAAAAAACTATCAATGTTATCCCGTTTTACGGGCCCGTATATATGCAGTATTTTTAGTTGAAATCGAGGTTTCAAACCTCCTTATGTTTCTCATCTGCATCCTATTAAAAACTTCTGCTCAAATCTCAACACAAAGATCTACTCCACTTACTTTGTGACAAAAAATGTGACAAAGGAAATGCTAAAAATTACCCTATAAAAACACATTTCGTCCACTAATGTCGCAGCTAGCTGCCTCAAAGTTTATTTTACATGCCTGAGTTATTAGTACAGGAGTACAGGTACTTTGGTACAAAATGCGCAATATGTTCATATGTTAATTCAATAATTTTTAACGCTCATTCAAGTTTATCGTAATAACCCGCTTTACAGACTTCAAAACAATCCCGTAGCAAAAACGTTTGAACGAGAGATGTCATTATCTTTTGAAAAACGTGCGTCCACTCAGTGCTAGATTTCAATGAGCCGTGTTGCGTCAGGGCGCAGCCTCTTAACACTTGACTGCCATAATGATTGTATGCCTAGAGCCAAGCAGACCGACAACGACGACTTGTATACGGAACAGAAAGTATTGCAACGCACTTTGCTCGAGAGTGTCACACGAGTGCTCCCGAATGCCATAAATCATCATCTAGCACAGTACCGCATAGCCGTCCGATCCAGGAACTGGATGGATAGATGGATGAACGGATGAATGAGTACAAGTTGTTGGCAATGAATGTCGCTGTAGCCAGCGCAAAGGGAAAAAAGTGACACTTTTTGATCTAACTGAAAAGTCCCAGCGAGTCCAACACTCAGCATCAGCATCAATTATGACCAATTAGATCCTTGTCTTCGCTGCCATGTTTTCGAAACTAAACACTATATGCTACTGCATCATGTTTTCTCAAACGATTAATGAGTTCATTGCCATCACGATCTGCTGGAGGGAAATGGATCGTATCGGATCCCTTCGGAGCGAGTCATAAGGCACATTGCACAGCATTGCGATCTGATGATATGCCACAGTTAACTTAATTATGGTGGCGGGGATTTTCGTGTGTAATTAAGATGTCTTTTTTGGAAAATGTGCAACACTCAATTTTCAAGAACAACAGCCTGACAATTAATTTATTCTGAGGAATGTTTTGCCGTCCACCGAATGTTTTGGTTATTCGGGTTTGGGATTAAAGATAAGTGTAAAATACTTTTTTTTAATGGATAAATTCTTATATAGATGGGAAGCCAAAATGATAAAAGCAAATAAAGTGGCTAATAATATCTTGAAATTGAAACCGTCCAGTCAATTAATGTTTGACATACTTACTTACTCTTTGTTTAGTTTTAAAGATTTTTTATACCAAAGTTATTAAGGAATTACTTATTGTACTTACGTCACATCTACCCTTTGTTGAGCAAACACTTGTGATGATATCATACATAACACAGCCAAAATGAGTGTACTCGTTTTGATCCCCATGGTTGATTAGCCTTCAGTTTGATCTGTAAAACAAAATATAATTAGTAATAACAAATAAACTAAATAAAAAATAACAGAATAAACTGTTTTTAATCATATAGAGAAAACGCACCAGCATTGGATGGTCAATTTTCTGGGAAAACTTTAGTAAAAGATTTCGGATTTTCCCGTAGTTTGAAAATTCATATCTCATGAACCATACTTCGTAGAACAAATGATAACGAAATTATCTAAGCAATTCATAAAAAAATATAATCTAAAGTGGACCCTACAGGATTGATTTTATTGACAATAACCGTATCGTCAATACATTCTGTATTGCCGTGAATACATCGAAATTGACAATATTCCTATATTCACATCATCAATATTGTCGTCAATAATTCCCCTTCGCGTTAATATATATTGATATGTGTGGGGTTCGCTTAACAAATGTTTCCTAGGAAAATTTTTAACATGGAGGAAAATTTCAATGAAAAGCAGGAAAACCCTTTTTTAAGTGATGACAATTTTTTCAACTATTTCATTAATGCTTAGAAAAGAACTATCTTTCACAGGTTGAAATTTCAAAGCGGTGTCTCTTGCCGTTTTTGAGTTATGAACAAAAAACTAACTGCCCTGAAAATTGGTATTTTTGGAATCGGAGTGACATGTAGGAACCGTAAAACGGGGTAACATTGATAGTTTTTTAAAGTATATTCTAAATAATTTTAACAGCAATGAATGTTTTTCAAATTTTATATTTTTAAAACAAGTATTCAGGATCCAAGAGTCAATTCGTTAGTAATATGATCAATGGAAATTAAAAAATTTGCACTATATTTTTAGTTTTGTGAGACAATTTCAGTTTTTAGATTTGGGGTTACTTCGATAATGCTCGATGAATGTAGAAAAAATGGGTGAAACTCAAAAAAATTAGTTCTTTAAATATGAAACTTTGAATGAGTATATAATCAGTAAACATGATAAGCAATAAGAATACAACATTGAATTTTTGATGGCTATATCGGAAATACATTTCATAAGTGATGGTTTGAGTGCTTTTTCAAACAGGTGAAAAACACGAAAATTGTTTTTTAATATGTTTGTACAATATGTAACACATACTATATAAAAACTATTTACGATATCAACGGAAATACCCTAAGCTACAATATGGAACCAATGTTTCTAATTTGGAAAAAGCGCAGCGAGTAAATTTAATCTTTACATTATACTATCAAAGTTAACCGCATTATCAAAGATACCCCGTTTTACGGAACCAGAAATCCATTTCTGACGCCATTTTGATATCCAAGATGGTGGCATCCAGTTAGACAAAAACTGGGAAATAATGTCAGCATCCCAAAATATGGATATTTCTGGAATAGGGGTGCCGTTTAGCGACTAGAAATTTATGTTTGACGCCATTTTAAAATCCAAGATGGCGGCTTCCGGTTATAAAAAAAACTGTGATATACTGTCAAATATCCCACAATATGAGTATTGTTTAAATCTATGTGACGTGTAGGGACCGGAAATCTACACACTACGGAAACGTCATGTAAATTTCGGTTCCCTGAGACCGACACATGAAAGCGGCCCTTTTGACATACGAATCAGTTGAAAGATACGATAAAATCAATTCAATCAAACGTTCTCTTCGTCGAGTTGCTTATGTTTCGGTTTGAGAATACCGTAAAACGGGGTAACATTGATAGTTTTTTTTAAGTATATTCTAAATATTTTTTACAGCAATTAATGTTTTTCAAATTTTATTTATTTTAATACAAGTACTGATGATACTTGAGTCAATTCGTCAGTAATATGCTTGACGGAAATTAAATCATTTGCACTATTTTTTTAGTCTTGTGACCGAACATCAGTATTTTGATTTGGGTAGCTTTGATAATGCTCGTTGAATGTAGAAGAAAATGCGTGAAACTCAAATAATTTAGTTGTTGAAATATGCAACTTTGAATATATAATCCGAAAACATCATAACTAATAAGAATACACTGAAATCTTTTTTTACACGGTTTTTTTTACGAGGTTTTTTTTACACGGTTTTCCACGATTTACACGGTACTTTTTTAACGATTTCTCGACAACCATACAACCTATCGACTTGATTCCAATCACATTATCCGTTTCAAGCTATAGGTAATCGAATGACATACTTAAAAAAAATCACAATTTTTGGTGTAAATACAGAATTTTTAAAAATATGTCTATATGGACCATATCATGCTTTAATTACAAATGGCATCAAAATCCGATTTTTTAAAAATATTTAAGCATGCGAAAAATCAAAATCTCGTAGGATTTTTTTACACCGTTTTTTTTACACGGTACGTATCCCCCGTGTAAAAAAAGACCTGAGTGTACTACATTTAATTTGTGATGGCTATATTGAAAATACATTTCATAAGTGATGGTTTGAGTGCTTTTTCAAACAGGCGATAAACAAGAAAATTGAATTTTAATATGTTTGTAAAATATGTAACACCTACAATTAAAAACTGTTTATCATATCAACGGAAATGCCCTAAGCTACAATATGGAACCAATGTTTTCAATTCGGAAAAGGCGCAGAGAGTAAATTTAATCGTTGTATTCTACTATCAAAGTTACCCGCATTATCAAAGATACCCCGTTTTACGGTACTTAATTTTACATGAAATGTTAGTTTACATTCCATGAATTACATCCAATATGAATTACGTCTCGTGTAAAAGTAGTTATTTCTAAGTGTGTATGTATGACGCCATTTTGAAATTCAAGATGGCGGCTTTCGGCTAGAGAAAACTGAAAAATACTGTCAAATACCCCACCCCAATGTAGGTGATGTGTAGGAACCGAAAATCTATATCTGATGCCATTTTTAAATCGAAAATGGCCGCTTTCGGTTGCAGAAAAACTGGGAAACACTCTCAAATACCCCACAATATGGATATTTTTGAAATCTGGGTGACGTTTAGGGACCGGAAATCCATGTCTGACGCATTTTGAAATCCAAGATGGCGGCTTCCGGTTCGAGAAAAATAGTGATATACTGTCAAATTCCACCTCATGTGCCGTTATTTGGAACCACAAAATGAACAAAATGTCATACTAAACCACGATACCGATTTCAGTATTTTTGTACAGTGTAGACTGTTGGACTCATGTCAAGGATCTAGGCAAGAGAATTCAGGTGAGTTTCAATTGTACAGGGTTTGAAATTGTTATGCTATATGTATAGGTATATTAATTCCAGATCTATCTAATGATTCCAGTGACAATGACGAAGTATTTCCTCGTTATACCTATGTGCTTGTGTATGAAAGCGATTAGGAAAAGGAATAACTATCTAAAAATGGTTTATTTCTGGAAGTTTAATGTTTTTCATAATTGTTTTTAATCAACCTATTAATTCCCCGTCATCAGAAAAAAAAACTAAAGTTAAATTAACATCTCAAATAAAATAAATATGATCAAGTCGGCAAGTAGCAGACGGAATACGAGTATCTGTCAAAAGATAAGCAATTATAACGGAATTAAAATGAAATAAACCAACGCACTCAAAGTATTTCCCAGTTTTGCTGTAGTTGGAAGCCACCATCTTGGATTTCAAAATGGCGTCAGACACAGATTTCGTGTTTCTACACGTACCCATATTGTGTTCCTAAAATACCCATATTGCGGGCAATTTGGCAGTATTTCCCAGTTTTTCTGTAACCGGAAGCCGCCATCTTGTATTTCAAAATGGTTTAAGCAATGAATTTCCGGTTCGTGCACGTCACCCCACTTAAAAAAATACCAATATGTTGTGGTATTTCACAGTATTTACCAGGTTTTTTCTAACCGGAAGCCGCCATATTGAATTTCAAAATGGAGTCATACATGGTTTTATGTCTCTAAACTCCTTTTTTTTCCTTTATTTAACATCGGCCTCTGTTCTGCAATCTAGTGCCAATCACCGACGGACATCAATTGCCATCCATTGACGGTAATCGAATGTGCAGGAAGACAGCTTCCACACCTGCGTAGGATATCACACCCATTCAAACACACATGGGCCGGGACCAACGGTTTTACTTCCTTTCCGAAGGAAGACGTGACCAGAGATTTTTATGCCTCAGAAAAATCCCACCGACCTCAACTGGGATTGAACCCAGACCCATTGGGGTGAGAAAGCAGTCACGCTTACCACTACACCACCGGTGCCGGCAATAGGTCCCTAAACGTCACCCCGATTCCAAAAATACCCATATTTTGGGTAATTACACGGGGAACAAATGATAGCAGACACAATTATTTTACCGGGCAAATTAACTATATTGTTCAATTGTTTTAGGGATAACTCGAAACTATAGTTGATTTGACTACATATATATAGATGGCAACAACTTTATTCCATAGTTGGTTCAACTATATTTTTCAGTAGATGAACAAACGTCTAACTTCAAAATGCAACTATGCTTTAGTTGATTCAAGAAAACTATTGTTGGGAAAACAAAATTTTACAATGTTTATTAAACGAACTGCTCTTCATTATCGACATATTTAGGAATTTTGTTTTGCTTCTTTATCGATCTCAAAAACACAACTGCAAAATCATTAAAAAAAAGTGAACAAAAACATTCAACTTAGATTTGAACCTTGTTCATCTGCGTGAGAGCCAGCTATGTTATCGCCTGCTCTACACATTGCAAGTTAAAAGTATATAGATTTATGATGATCACTTAAAACCTAATTATATAAATAAATTACATTTGTTATAATTGTTGTTGTTAATTGATCAAAGTTATATTATTGGAATAACTATAGGTTTCTTTCATTGTTGTTTGTCCATGTGAAAGTAGCAATTAGGATTGTTATCTTAACTTTACGAATTTGTTCTCCGTGTAGGCAGTATTTCCTAGTTTTTCTCTAACCGGAAGCCGCCATCTTGAATATCAATACGGCGTCAGATATGGATTTCCGGTTTCTATCCGGCACCCCAATTCCAAAAATACCCATATTGACCAATATTTGACAGAATGTTCAAGTTTTTCTCTAA